AAACGAGTTTCCAAACGGGTGTCCAAACGCGTTTCTAAATGGGTTTCCAACCGAATTTCCATACGGTTCTGCAAATGAGTTTTCGACCAAGGTTAGATCGGTGTTTCCAAACGTGTTTCCAACCGAGTTTCCAAGCCAGATTCCAACCAGGTTTCCAGCCGAGTGTCCAACCAAGTTTCCAACTGAATTTCCATACGGTTCTGCAAACAAGTTTCCACCCAAGGTTAGATCAGTGTTTCCAAACGTTTTTATCAACTAGATCTCCAAACGAGTTTCCAAACGGGTGTCCAAACGCGTTTCCAAATGGGTTTCCAACCGAATTTTCATACGGTTCTGCAAACGAGTTTTCAACCAAGGTTAGACCACTGCTTCCAAACGTGTTTCCAACCGAGTATCCAAGCCAGATTCCAACCAGGTTTTCAACTGAGTGTCCAAACAGGTTTCCAAACACATTTCCAAAAGGGTGTCCAACCAAGTTTCCAACCGAATTTCCATACGGTTCTGTAAACGAGCTTCCACCCAAGGTTAGATCGGTGTTTCCAAATGTTTTTATCAACCAGGTCTCCAAACGAGTTTGCTACCGAGTTTCCAAACGGGTGTCCAAACGCGTTTTCAAATGGGTTTCCAACCGAATTTCCATACGGTTCTGCAAACTACTTTTCAACCAAGGTTATATCAATGTTTCCAAACGTCTTTCAAAATGTCTTTCCAACCGAGTTTCCAAGGAAGATTCCAACCAGGTTTCCAATCGAGTGTCCGAACGGGTTTCCAAACGCGTTTCTAAAAGGGTGTCCAACCAAGTTTCCAACCGAATTTCCATACGGTTCTGCAAACGAGTTTCCACCCAAGGTTAGATTGATGTTTCCAAACGTTTTTATCAACCAGATCACCAAACGAGTTTCCTACCGAGTTTCCAAACGGGTGTCCAAACGCGTTTCCAAATGGGTTTCCAACCGAGTTTCCAAGCAAGATTCCAACCAGGTTTCCGACTGAGTGTCCAAAAAGGTTTCCAAACACATTTCCAAAAGGGTGCCCAACCAAGTTTCCAACCGAATTTCCATACGGTTCTGCAAACGAGTTTTCAACCAAGGTTAGATCGGTGTTTCCAAAAGTTTTTATCAACCAGATCTCCAAACGAGTTTCCTAACGGGTGTCCAAACGCGTTTCCAAATGGGTTTCCAACCGAATTTCCATACGGGTCGGTGTGAAATTAAATGGAAACGTCAGCTCTACCCATATCATTGTGGGAAAATTCTACCACCAGTCCTTCATCACCTTAGACGAAAAAAGGTGGTTGCATATCAATTTCCTGTCTTTTCACCCCTTCAACC